CAGCAGCCCCAGCCACACAGGCAGAATGTGGCTCCCACACGAGCAGGAGCACGTGGCATGCACGGGCCGCAGTGCCGACACCCGTAGGGCAGGCGGCGCCCATCAGGGCCAGGCCACAGTGGGAGGTGCCACGTCCATCGGCCACCGCCCGGACTGCACAGGGCAGGGCGCATCTCTGCGGTGCCCTGGGCTGGTGCTCAGTGCTCCACGACGAGCATGGGCAACGCAAGGGGCTCCCTCGTTCTCGCTCCGGACCCGAGCACAGGGAGGCTCTCCTGCACGGAGCGGGTGTGTCAGAGTAAGTGTGCAGAACGGTGCGGACACCCGAGGAGGCGTGCAGGGCAGCGCCAAAGTGTGAGCACAGTCAGAGCACACTCAGGACGGCAGTCCGGGGGCCAGAGCAGATGCAGACTCGAGGGCAGCCACAGGAGGGGACAGAAACAGAGCACAGCAAGGACACCGTGTGGGACAGGGGATCCAGCACAGGGCCTGGACCCTGAGACCGCAGAGGACCCGGGACAGTAAGGACAGGAGCTGATGCCTGGGTGGGAAGGGTTAGCAGGCCAAGGAGTCACGGTGGCCGCAGCGGGGCAGTGCACAGGGCTGCCGGGGCCGGGGCACACTGAGGGGCGCGGTGCCACAGTGGCGTAGACAGGCCGACAGTGTGGACGCCCGTGGATAGTGCCACGGTACAGAGCTGCCGGGCCAGGCTGAGCCGAGCTTGGAGCCACACTGTGATGTGAGGGGCTGTGCTCAGCTGCAGGAGCACAAGGCACCCAGGACCGCGTGGGCGAAGCCCCGGCAAGGCACTCCGTGTAACAGAAGCTCTGCCATGCCGTGTGGTCTCGGGCAGGGTCAGGGTTCCGTCCAGAAACCCAGGAGAGTCGCCTTCCAGATGCAACACCGCTGTAGGAACCAGCAGACAGGACAGCGACAGGCGGTACTGGCCAGCCGCGCAGGGCCCCGGTGCAGGTGCACTGACGCTGGGAGGCGGTCAAGTAAGCCAGTCCAGGAACACAGCAGCACGCCACAGGGCAGGGGCCGGCGAGCTGTGCAGCAGAGGTCATCCGTGTGCAAGCCCAGGGAAGCACGCCCAGGCCCGGCCACCTGTGCCTACAGCCCCGCCCAGCTGGCTGCTTTGCCCTAGACTGGGAGCTCTGCAGGGCACAGGCGGGCATGTCAGAACCCAGCACACTGCCCAGGTATTCACGTCTGCGAGGGCCCCAGCACGCTGGCCGGAGGACAATGCACTCAGACCCTACTGAAAAGCTTTGGGACAATGACAGCCCAGGGCAGGGCCATGTGAGGCCGAACAGAGGAGGCAAAGAGGGGGCCTTGCTGGACTAGGCCTGCACAGAGTGGCCCAGCGGGAGCTGAGCAACAGGGAGGGTGTGAAAGAGGGCCAGCCCCACCCCAGCCCCCACCCACCCCCGAATCCTTTCTAGGCCTGACTTCAAAACCAACACGGGCCAGCTGAGGTGTGGCAGGGGAGAGGCTCTTCGATGTCGCGACCA